AAGGCCGTGTCACACTGGCGTTTTTTTCGTGCAACTTGTGTCGCGCAAAAAAATGTTGAAGTTGCACGAGCGTTTTTTTACGTGTGACACCCCCTCATGCAACTTGAACATTTCATTTTTTTGTTGAGAGAAAAGTAGAACTGGCTTCTACTTTTTTCAACATTTTTCGGAAAAACGCGTGTGTGACATGGTCTCTTGCAACTTCCAAATTTTTCAATTAGGCGCACGAACCCATAATAAAGCGAGAATCTGTCCTGTTGTCACTTGTTGTAATAATCTACAAAGATGCCCGACGCCATCTTTGGCGAAAGTGATAATTTTGAAGAAGAAAACGAGACAGAAAGTGAGATGATCGTACATTTTCAATTTACGCGTGCAACTTAAACATTTTTTTGTGCGAGCTAAGTTGCAACGGAATTTTGCTAGTGTGACATGGCATCGTGCAACTTCAACATTTTTTTGCGCGACACAAGTTGCACGAAAAAAACGCCAGTGTGACACGGCCTTTAAAGGTTGTAAATTTGAAGTAAATATGATGTAAGTGTCCAAAATTCTGTAAATTTGATGTAAATGATTTCCATTAAATTTACAGAATTTTGGACACTTACATCAAATTTACAACTTTTAAAGCGCGCGATTTTTTCCAGTGATTGTGTCACATTTTGCCGACAAATCTTTATTTCACGAATAATGAAAAAAATAAATTCACGGGTATTGGGTAATTTATTTTGTTTGCGAGGTGGGAGAGAGAATTATTTTTTCGACTGGCTCATTTCTAAATCTCYCTCCTGATGAATATTGCACGGTCCGTAATGACCATAGCAAGAAGGAGTGTTAATAGTAATTGCCTCTTCAGTTTCTCTTTATTAAGTCCCATACTCTTATAAAAAACAATGGCAGTTTTCAATAGAAATTTTACACCTGCACAAATATAAACAATTGGTAGTTTTTTTTTAAAGGATTGGGTTTAGAAAAGCTTTATTCTTGTTAACCTTAAATTTAATGTTTGTACACATAGAGCCCTAAGCTCGCTTTCAATAGGCAGTGGCTAACTCGAAAGCTAAGCTCCTTTAGCCACTGCACACTTTCCMCTKTATCAAACATGTAATTCCCCATAATTATTTCTAATAGATTATCAATATTCCTTGTAAAATATTATATATATGTGTGTAAAAATAAAATTGAATTGAATTGACAATTTTATTTTTACACACATATATATAATATTTTACAAGGAATATTGATAATCTATTGTATTAGAAATAATTATGATGAATTACATGTTTGATATACGGAATTTAACGAATTTGATTAATTCGGATCTCAAACTGACAGCTGAAAAAAATGAGTTATTTACCTGTTARAGGCAAACATATCTACAACACGTATCCTATAGTCCTGTAATTAATAGCAATAGCAGCGTGAGTATTATTAAATACTAAATACCGTTTTACTCATCCTAGATTGTAATTATCATCATTAAGAACTTACAAGGATTTCAGTGTAATGTGGCTACAATTAACGTTGTAAGCCGGTATACAGGTTTTTGTAATATACTGTAGATGTAATAGTCCGAACACCCTAATTGGTGTGAGAGCGTGATCTATGGTAAATGCACGCTTGAGCGCAGTATGCACTCGGATTGTTTGTAGGCCTTTTCATGTTTCCCCRTGGCTTTATTTCAACAATACACGCACAGCTATCCATCCTTTATTGGTTAATTAACCTTGCCTGGATCGGAAAATGTGATATCATCAAAGCCAACTACGATGGGGATTCAGAAAGTACTCATAAATTCAATGCAAATTTACATTAGCGTGTTATATTATAACATAACTCRAAGGGAAGGTCCTTTTATTCAGTACATCAATGCTTTTTACTCTAAAACACTCTTNTGCACGTGACCCATACCCTATTGCGACTGTCTGTGATTGGTCAAGAGCCACACAGATTGACACGTACACCAAGACAGACAGCCATCCAACAGCCATATATCGTAAGGCATTGAGCCTTCTTTTTTGCTTCGAGTTAGCTATAGAACGTCTTCCTTTAGCAGTGAAGGCCCTCCAAGTGTCAAAGGCGATGATGGACGTCCACACGAAAGAAACCAGGAAAAAGTAGTGAAGAAGAACAGCGATGGCAGTACAACCCATAGAGTTGTCTGTCTGTCCACTACCAAGAAGCCACAAAAGTTGCGCAAGAAGAATGGCAGCGCTGAGGTTCATGAGGTTAATACCTGGTTGGGTTCGTAGCTCGGTGAACAAGGAATAGGTGACGAGGACAAAKACCAGTGAAATAATCGACATTGACATGCATACGAAAGTTAAAACTGACAAGATTTGCTCGTTGTTTGACCATGACTTCTTGAAATAGATGGAAGATCTCGTGGTAAAGTTATCGCAGACAAAGAGGCTTTGGTTTTGCCAGATGTACTGTGTTGGGTCATAGAGGGTTTCTGAAGCATTCACATAGATTGATTGGTTGGTTAGGATCGTGAACTCATGACTCTCCATCAATCCCCACTCTCCAGAACAATTACGATCAAAGACCAACCCTCCATCAAACACAGAGACATTGTCACAGATGAGGACAGCGTGATTCCGCCAGATGTATTCTGACTTTTCATACAATTTCTTTGAAGCATTAATCAAGATGGATTTATTTTCGAACACCAAAAATTCCCCTTCGTCGATTCGCCGCCAATTCTTGGAACAGTTGAATCTTTCACGGCAGACAAAGATAGCTTTGCTCTCATTGGCTGTCTCGGTTCCATTGATGTAATAGTCTTCGGGATTTAGCACTTCGCCTGTCTTCTTAATGATAACCGCTGAGCTTTGATCTGACGACATYGTGTATTCATATCTATGRTACGTCTGGGGGTRGTCACAKGTCRTCTTATTTCTGCTTGGATTTGAAAATAAATCACCAAAATATATATTACTTGTCTGAAATATGTTTTCCCTGGGATGCAATTCAGTATGTACATATTTTGTTCTGCATTTGTGAGTCTTGCTATCGTAGACTTCAGTGTNCATACAATTTCTTTGAAGCATTAATCAAGATGGATTTATTTTCGAACACCAAAAATTCTCCTTCGTCGATCCCCCGCCATTCCTTAGAACAGTTGAATCTTTCACGGCAGACAAAGATAGCTTTGCTCTCATTGGCTGTCTCGGTTCCATTGATGTAATAGTCTTCGGGATTTAGCACTTCGCCTGTCTTCTTAATGATAACCGCTGAGCTTTGATCTGACGACATYGTGTATTCATATCTATGRTACGTCTGGGGGTRGTCACAKGTCRTCTTATTTCTGCTTGGATTTGAAAATAAATCACCAAAATATATATTACTTGTCTSAAATATGTTTTCCCTGGGATGCAATTCAGTATGTACATATTTTGTTCTGCATTTGYGAGTCTTGCTATCGTAGACTTCAGTGTCGAGGCACTTMTTCAGCTTTACGCTCGTRGTAGGCACATCGTCTGCGCTCCGGTGACGTATGGCGATCTCAGCGAACAAATCGGTGGCTGGCCGAGAAWTCATTCGMTCAAAGTGTACGMCGCCGGGTTCTTCAAGAGTAATCTTGAATCCTGATAGATAAAGTAAAAAAATCCAGTAAACAATGGCAATGTTTTAAAATATGWACTGATTTGGCATTAACTTTTTTTATCTAATTAATGGATGGTTTCAGGAGTCTTTTTAAAAATGGAAAAAATAGTTTTGATTTTGATCTTAATATTCCGGCACTCTAAAGCCTTTCTGCAGCTATAATTATAATGCATAACAACTTCGACAATACAGCGCAGCCATTTTGACAGGAGGTAAAGATAAACATCTTTGTCTTCCTGTAATGGCGTTTATTGGCATTCATTTCACATGAGAAAGTTTTGAGTGAAGATTAATGTCGTGGTGTACTKTATATAAACACTTTTGAGATACGCCAGGGTCTTGAACCACAAACCATTATGAATTAGTTTTCCAGGGGTATCGTAAAATAAAGAGGGTTTMCTTATATTATCGGCAAATCGCATCGAGTTTTCCTTGTAAATAATCGACACATGGAAATTCGAAATTGACTCATTTTGTGCTCTTTTTGCTTTCATTTTTTTTCATAAATCAAAAATTGAAAGAACGAATTACCTAGGGACTCATTCTTAATTTTGTATATTCTTGCAAAGTTTTTTGTGCTGATTTTATTGTATTAAGACACGCCAAACCTACATTATTTTTTTTATATTTCTCGTCTGGTAAAATGACCGCCATGTCATCGTCGAAGTAGCTCATCACTTATCAGTTTTATCATTTTATATGAATCTGAATTYAAGCATTCAGAGTCAAACATTTATACATCCTAGAGCTTACTATATGAGTTAAAATACTTGATAAACAACTTGTTCAGTGCGGCAGCAGTTTGGTTGATTCTCCGGATGATGTCGGCCTTCCTGAGCTCATCTGAAAGTTAAACAAACACCTTAAACAAATAATTGTCTTTAAATTTATAGTGTACTATAAATAAAATCTATTAAAACTATTTATAGGTCAGATTATAGACCTATTTTTAGATTATCGAGGGAGTGCCACTCCGTCACAATTCAAAAATTGTTTCCAAGAAAGCAAAAACGTTAAGGTTTCCCCCAAATGACGCCTCTTTGACCTCACCTGCAAATGGATCTAGACATAATACCTTCCTCATTTCACTCAAAATACTTTATAGGCAAGGCAAATAAAAGGGAATATAGAAAGAAATACCTTGAGTAGAGCTCGTTGTACAGTGAGTGGTTAATAAATTCACTCACCGGTTATCCACTCTATAGATTTTCAGTGTATGTGTTTTAACCATTAGATTTTAACCATAGATTTTGTATACACAAGTCACACTTCGCACATAAACAACCGGCTGCTGGAGGTCAAGAGACCGCTAAATTGATGTATTTGTGGATTTTGTGGGTTGCAATCTGGTCTATAATCGCGACTWCAATCAATTAAATGACCATCTACGGATTAATCAAAATCTTAGAGTACTGAAGCTAAATTTCAAGGTGCACGTTGGAATCGCTAGCCGGTGTGTGCCTTATCCGTTGATTTGCCCTTTCTTTCAGTTGATATACTTTCCATATGACCTTTTTGTCTAATATGTCTATGATTCACTCTACGATTTTTTCACAAACAAAAATTCGCCATCCTTAATTTTAAACCAATCAGACAGCAACTTTCAACAACTAATCTCTTTTTTTAAGCAAACGTTCGCAAAGGTTGTCGGATCCAAGTGGATCTTTAACAACATTGCTCACTATGGAAGCGTGCTTGGGCTAGAGTACAATATTCATTAGAGTAAAAGAAGGAATAATTATATATCAGTTCATTGCTCTCTTTGTCAACGAAATTTTTTATCTCGCCGTGCGAAGTCATATTGAGTTGTTAAAATGCGAAAAGTCAGACTTGTTCAATTAAAAGTATTTCAGTAGTCTACCAGATAGCATTAAACACTGTTTACTTCATAAAGCTTTCACTTACCTCGCATACGATTGCCATTCTGCGAAGAGTTAGTACTGTTTGCAGCTAGTTCTAATCCTTTTTCTTCCGTGTTTGTCCATAGAGAGGTGTGCAAAAAAATCCACAAGAAAACTGATGGAAACATGTTTTCGCTCCTCACAGAAAACAAGAACAATTATCGGTTGAGGGTGAGGGTGAGTATGAATAAGAATCAGGCAGAGTCTGAARTGCCAGATGTCATTAGTTGGTTGACTCCGAGATATCGTCTAGATAGCAATCTTCATGTGGTTTTCTTAATGCTTTATATCATACAATAGCCGATTCCAAGAATCTTTTATTAACTTTCTACATTTTTATTTATATCAAAACAAATGTTTTTTTTTATTTTGCGAAGTGTGTACTTCTAAGTCTTCTTTGAATTCACGCCTATCACAAACAATTAGATATTCTGCTGAGCGCTTTTCATCACCTTTTTGACATATTCATTTTGCATTATGGTACAAATGTTCTATTTCATGAAGACAACCTATTTGCAATTCGATGTAAATAGTAAATTTGACTTGAAGCACACTTTTATCATACTTGTGGAAAATACCATTAAGTGATCGTAATGTTATGCCTTAAAGTCATCTGTTAAGAGTACACAAAGGCTGATAAAGATTAAGAATGCACCTTAACCAACCGGAAGGTGTGTTATAAGAAAGGTCTATAACACGCGTCTTAGCCAATCATTATTGACGTTATATCAAGTCAGTTTTATTGTACTTCTTTGTTAATAGTTACAAATCCTTTATATTTCAATGGTCAGAATATTACGACATCCGCATGAGGGTCTAAGGAGCTAGTCATTCCAGTCTGTCCCACACTTGGAAATAGGGCTTATGCACCAGGAGCGGTAAACATGGAACATAGATTAAACAATGATGTAAAAGTAGCGATTATACGTATACAACATACATAGATATATATCCCTAATAACCCTAATATTGCAAAAAACCGCATTAACATTGAGTTTTTGTCTTAACACAAGTCATTGGCAAATTCATGATTTGT